TAAAGAAAACTCCCCTCCTTGCCTCTCCCCATCATTTTAACTTAAGTCTGCCCCTGTTCCCCTCACAATAGCTCCTCTGCAGATCCTGAATCTAGGTGTCTGGGAAGAGGGACAGTGCCTCTGGAGACTAGTTCTTATCTGGGATCACAGCCCTATTTCTGGGGTCAGATTCTGTTTTAGCCAGTCCGTAGGGAGGGAGTCATACAGACCTATCCCCCACCTTCTGAGAATCTGGATAATGTGTCCTGGGGCCCCAGTTTCACCAGGACACTGATCTTTAAGATATTCCCAGTTCAGAGAATCCTCTTGGTCTCCTGTGTAATCACTATCTCCCCACTCCACCCCACCCCCGGACCACACACTCCATTGCCAAAGTCTTAAGAGTTAATGGCTAGAAGTTCTCTCCCGAGGCTTGTAGCTTCATGGGTCAGGAGTCCAACTGAAATACACTTTTATATCCCAGAAAACCATTGTAATTATGTTGCCTGCTTGCCTGAAGTCCAGAATCCCTATGATCTCTTACCAATCTGCCCTTTTGCACATCCTCAGCCAAGAATGTAAAATTCCCAAGTAAAGGCCTCATCAACAACCCTATTTGTCTTGGCCAACATCATCAGAAGCACATGATGTTGGCGCAATATGATGAAACAGGAGTATTTCACATAGCTGTGGCTACAGAGAAGAGATACTAACAGGTTGTGCCATGGTGTTGCCCAACAGCGGATTCACTTTGCACTCCACACTAGGAGGGATATTGCACAAAAGATCTCTCATACCAGCATGGAGTCCAGAATGAGTATGATCTCAGACATAAGGCAGGGAGTCACTTTCTATGAGGTCATAGAAAGCTGCAGGCTGCACAAGCAGACCCAAACGCTCCAGGAAAACTATCATAACCACAAATATTGGAGTTAGCCATGAAAACTTGAATCCAGGTGGAATGCAGACCAGAGCAGATAGATTGACCACACACCATGGGACACTGCACAGGAGGCCATATGGCTGAAAAGGCAGGTGGATGCCATCTACAGGGCCACATGGGGTCTCATCGGGCCTCATTTCAAGGAACTGAAGAGATAGCCCAGAAGCTATGATTTTCAGAGGTGCTGTCACACTCCAACCAAGTGGAAGAGGAAGAAATCTACACTTTTCCTCAACCCAAATGTGAGCTCAGTCATTCTCATGAAGTTCTAAGTTAAAAAGCCCTCCAGACAATAATTCTGTAAGTAATTGTGACAAAATTCTAATCTTAAAGGGATACAGGTCTTTAAGATGTCCATATATTTCTCTTAGGGGTTCCTCTTCAATAAATCTAGCCTGACAAAATAATTACTGATATGAACAAAGATGTATGCTATAAGATATTAGATTGTAAAAAATGTTGACAGTCCTGTCACACACACACACACATACACACACCCCATATTTTGCCTTTCCCCTCTGGTGCATGAAAAGTGAAGTTGTGGCAGCCAATGTTCATAAGCAATGAATTCTGTCAGCCTCCCAGCACAGGACGCCTCTCTTCTAAGGCAGTTTCGCCCCCTGGTTGTGCACAGCTCCCCAAGGCAGCTGATTCCAAAGCTGTGCATAGTTCATCATAAGAACTTTCTTCCTTGCAAGCTAAAAATCCACCCCCTCGGGCATTTGTATTTTGTTTTGGATTGAGATTACATACATACCTACCATGTGAAGTCTTTAGAAGGCTTTACCAGCACTCGCTTGCTCCTCGAAACACCTGAGAACAATTATAAGCCCATAATCCCTTATCTACAATTCCAAAGTTAAAAAAAACTCTCAACAAACAAGTGTTTTCATAACTTTGGCCCAGAATGTCACCTGAACCATTTACAATTGTATTTATATTTATATTTACTTTTGAGTGACTATTCATCTATTTAGCTGCAGATGTTGATCAGAGAGCACTGCCCTAAATCTCACTGGGGTATGTATGTCTCCGTACCTCTGCATCTGTCTCCTCCTTGCACTGTCAGTCCATTTTGCTCTGTCTGTCTCTCACATAAGGACACTATATTACCTTTCTAAAATCCAAAACATTCTGAATTACAGGCCTTGGCTGATGTGGCTCAGTTGGTTGACATTGTCTGGTACACTGAAAGGTCACTGGTTGGATTCCTGGTCAGGGCACATGCCCAGGTTGCGGGCTCCATCCTTTGTCAGGGTGCATGCGGGAAGCAGCTGATCATTGTTCCTCTCTCACATAGATATTTCTCTCTCCCTTTCCCTTCATCTCTCTCTAAAATCAATAAAAGCATGTTAAAATTTTTAAATAATAAAAAATTCTGAATTACAAAACACACTTATCCCTAAAATTTTCAAATAATGGATTAGAAAGTTACACAATTATCCCTGTAGTCTGAAAGAAGTGAAGACGTGTTAGGGTTCTTGATCACTCTAAAATCTTTGCTATCCACACTATTCTATCCTGCCCTAGAGGTTGCCTGCAGAGAACCTCATGTTCTCTGGATAATCAGTCCCACCAGTCGGTTGACCTCATGATCTCTACTCTGGTCACCCCATACGCTGCAGATGATCTGTGTTTTTCCCAGGGAAGTCCCCAGAATTTGCCACACTGGAGGCAAACCCCATGAACAAAATATGGCCCACATAGCCCAGCCTTTGGGCTCATCAACTCCATCCAGAACTCAGTTGTCATCTGTTTTCCTTCAGCGACTTTCAGTCTCAGACTTTCTGAGTCAAAAGGAAAGACAGACTTATTTTATGTCAGGATAGGGCAGTGTAGAATTTAGAAAACCTAGAGAATCATGGTAGCCCAGCCGGCATGGCTCATTGGTTGAGCCTCAGCCTATGAACTGGGAGATCACGGTTCGATTCCTAGTCAGGGCTCATGCCCAGGCTGTGGACACAATCCCCAGTGTGGGACATGCAGGAGGCAGCTGATCAATGATTCTCTCTCATTGATGTTTCTCTCTCTCTCCCTCTCCCTTCCTCTCTAAAATCAATTAAAAAAAAATTTTTTTTTAAGAGAATCATGGTAATTAGACAGTAAAAGACAAGACAGAGGTATGGACTTCTGGGTGCGAGGTTCATCAGTACTCAATTTCCCCTCAGCCTCCTCTATGAAAACCCGAAAGAGACCCTCAATCAATTTACCAACAGCCCATCACCCCTGCACCTACCTCATCCAAGCCCTTCTCATTCTGGAATCTCCTCAAGATATGGATGTGCACATTCTCTGCCAATTTATCAATAATTCCCATTGTCTCTGTACCTCTGCATCTCTGTCTCCTTCCACTGTCAGTCAGTTTTGCTCCAGGTCTGTGTCTCTTGTCCATGTGTATCTCTCTCTACCTCTGTGTACCTCAGAATTCTTTCTGCAGGGAACAGAGGTACTAACCATACTACACCAGGTGACTTCTCCTTGTCAACCATAATTTAAAAATGTGCTAACTGGGCATTAGGAGGAGAGACTTGGTTTCACTTATCTCAACAGGAAACGGCTTTCTGATTTTGACTATTGCACTCTTCTCTCCTCCTGCCCATTTCCTCTTCACTCCACCACTTTGCACTTCCATCTAGCATGTATGCGCCTCTCCCATCACACACACAGGAGAGCAGAAGGAACAAGTGGGTTTCTCCCTTCACCAAAAGGAACTACTTACCACTTGACGGTAAAAGCTGGAATCAGGCAGACTTGCACTCATTTATTTAACCACTCTGAGCCTGTTCATTCACTTGTAAAATGGGGAAATAGTGCCTACGTCAAGAGGTTACTAAAAGGATGATCTAAGACAGTGGTTCTCAACCTTCTGGCCCTTTAAATACAGTTCCTCATGTTGTGACCCAACCATAAAATTATTTTCGTTGCTACTTCATAACTGTAATGTTGCTACTGTTATGAATCGTAATGTAAATATCTGATATGCAGGATAGTCTTAGGCGACCCCTGTGAAAGGGTCGTTCGACCGCCAAAGGGATCGTGACCCACAGGTTGAGAGCCGCTGATCTAAGATAACGCACTCAAAGTGCGTAGCACAGCACATAAGAGTTCAACAAATATTTAATAGTAATTCCTCCCCTGGAGCATAGGATGCACTCAAAGTGCGTAGCACAGCACATAAGAGTTCACAAATATTTAATAGTAATTCCTCCCCTGGAGCATAGGCTCATGCCCATTGTCAAACCTTTGTTCAAGTACCTGGCACCCACATTCTTAGCTCTGTCTAGGGAGACCTACCCAGTTACATCCCTTAGGAAACTTTTCTTGGCAACACTCTCCTACCATCTTAGGACCCTTTCCTGTGCCCCATACTCACACTACCTGGGCCAGCGCGGACAATGGCCAACTCTGTGGGATAACTCTACATGCTGAGCCAGGACAGGGAAGACCCCCTACATGAGGGGTCTTACTAGGCACACAAGAAACTCTGCAGAAGGACTCAAGAGAGCTCTTTGGATAGATAAGGGGCAGAGCGGGAAAGTAGCTATCAGAAAGACTCTCTAGAGCAGCAGTCGCCAACCTTTCGGATCTCACAGACCACCCGTGGTCCATGGACCACCGGTTGGCGACCGCTGCTCTAGAGTACTTCTTTTTAGGAAATACCACTCTTCTTTTCCAGCAAAAGAGCAGTTTGAGATCTCTAAACAGACACAAGGGGAAATCACACATAGATTAGAGCCGTAGTAGGACAATATGTACTAGAAACAATCAGGCGAGGACAGGGAGTGAAACATGAAGAAAAATTTCTACAAATTTACCTGAGTAATTCTGACTTCCTGAGAGCTCTCTCCAGTTACTAAGGCAACAGTACCCCAATTAGATTCTTACCCTCACACTATCACCATTCAGCATGGCACTCTCCTACACACACACCTGGTTTTCACTGCTATTGGAACCCACTTGTTAATAATGGGTTTCATCCCAGGCTGCATATTAAAATTGCCTGAAGAGCTTTTAGAAATCCTGATGCCCAAGCACACTCCAGACCAATTAAATCAGAATTTTTATTGACATTTGTTTGTTTGTTTGTTTTTGAGAGAGGAAGGGGGGGGGAGAGAAACATCAATGCAAGAAAGCAAAATATCGATCAACTGACTCCCACAAGCCCCCTATGGGAATCGAGCCCGCAACTAGGGTATGTGCCCCCGACCAGAATCGAACCAGCAATCCTTCAGTGCACAGGATGACACCCAACCAACTGAACCACACCGGCCAGGGCCAGGCATCAGTAATTTTCAAAGCTCTCAGGTAATTCCAAAGTATGGCCAAGATTGAGAACCACTACTTGATTCTCAGTTTAAGTCCTGATCTATTCTTCTCCTGTGTGCTTCAGGACTCCAATGCAACCTCACAAAGAAGTTATCTGCAGGTAACAAGACAGCATATCAAATTGTTTGAAGGAGGCTGCTGAAGGGAAGAAAGACCTGATCCTGTTTCCTCAAAGAACTACATACACACACATACATACCCTAATGGTACCTGCATTTTCCTCCTCTAAAGCAGAATAGGTAGATGACTCAAAAGAATAGACTCAGACTGTGAGAACGGTGAGGCTAAGGTGACTGCCCTCTCCAACCCAATACCCCATCCCCCAGCAGGACCTCTATGACCTCATGCTGTAGTAGGTCAGAGCCTAAGGCCAAGCCTCACCTCTCTGGGCAGCTCGGGGTTCCTGCAGCAGCCATTGCCCTGCCTAACCCTTCCCATATCCCAACATGTTGGTTGGTACCCCTCAACTGCTAACACTGGATGAAGCTGATACCACATGGACCCTCATCAAAGACAAGGTAGGTAAAGTAAGAGGGCTAAAGAGGAAGTAACAAAGTGTGACCTAGGTGGGTCTGAGTAGCTTATGAGGAGGGAAGACGGAAGATAATAATAACACTTATTCAGTGCTTGCTTATGAGCCAGGCACTGTACCAAGTGCTTTGTACAAACTGTCCAATTGGATCACAATTGCGAAAGCAGTAAGAATGGTTTCTTGAATGTAGAGAGAGCTATGAGAGCAGAGAAAAGTGCTAAGTCAGGGGCAGGACTTAGGAGGTCACTCCTAAAGAGAGTGACATTCTAGCTGGGCAAGTAGGAGTTATTCACACATAGAGGGAAGAATACCTGGCATATAAACAATGCTTAATAAACACCTGAATGAGTTCATGAGAGGTGGATGGGTGAGTGCACAGTGTACTAATTAAAAAGGCAGAACATATGCAAAGGCAGGAGAGGAAAATGGAAAATGAAGGTTTATGAATTGCAAATGCCCTTTAGAGCAGAGTTCAAATTATTAGTGGTAAAAATAAGGTCAAAGAGGTGCAGGGGCTAATCATGAAAGGCCTTTTAAGTTTTCTAAAGTACCTGAACTTTACCTTTGACCTCTTCATGGCCAAGTGCAAAAGACAGTAATCTTCAAGTTACCTCAGCTTATCCAAAGTACACACAATTCCATCAGTTAGCTACCCTCCTCTTATGCTAGGGGGCAGCACTAAAGGGGAAGAAAAACACAAAACTATATAGCAAAAAGCAGATCAGCCTTAAGGGACCATTGGTGAATTCTAAGGGAAGGCCAGCCAAGTGGACAATGCCAATGCCATCAATAGGGGCACAGATGTGGATCTTGAGGGCTGGGACAAAGAGTAGAGCACACAGCATTTGAAAAATACGGCTCTAACATGAAAGAGGCCCAAAGAAGAAATTTTGTATGCTCCCTACAAACATTGAGCCAGAAGTCTCAGCCATCAATATCCTGGATGAGTTGTTATCATACCTAACTATAATTACTAGAGAGGATCTTATAGGGTTTCCTAGTGGTCATGAAGTTAAACTTTCTATAACTGGGTTACCAAACCCAAAAAAAGCCAAGACAAAAAGGACAAAACCAAGAGGAACTACAATCCCTAAAAGCATATTGGAACTAGATTTACAAAGATGAAGCCTCAAATCCCTAAAGGAACTATGCCCTGCCCCTAGGGCAGGTGTATTTAAGGGATGCTAGAGGTAGTGTAAGAATGGATAGTCCAAGCCTATTTTTGTACACCCATTCTTGGTAAATGACATAACCCATCTAACCAATCACCTAAGAATAATCCTTGAGTTTTCCTTTTCCCACACCCCTTAAGAGACCAAGTTCTCCTAATTCTATAACCTAGATATCTTCCTCCATTATTTTAGTTGAGGGGCTCACCATGTCTTGCCTGGAGTATTTTAATACTCTTAACTGTTTTTTCTCTCTCCCCTCATTTCATGCCTTCCTGTTCAAAATTAGTTTTTTTAAATGCCTATCTAATCCTGCCCCTAACTATAGCCCTTCAAGTTGCTTCCCACTGTCCTCAAGATGAAAGTCCCCATCACTTAGTATACACGCAGGCCTTTCATAATCCAGTTCCTGTGTGCCTGTACCTCCTCATACCCTACATTTATGCGATATGAAATTACATGTTCCTGAATGTGCCCTTAATTTGTAAGCTCAGGGTTTCTTACCAGCTATTCCTTCTGCCTGGACTGACCATTCTCCTACCTGGCTAATTCCTTCCAAGTTCAAGTATTATCACGTGGAAACCTTCTTTGATCCTCTTCTATCAAAGACAAAGGCTGTTAAATAACTTCTAATCTCAACATCTTGCTATTATTTTACTTAGCTACTACTTACATTTTTGTCATTAGACTGATCTATATTAGGACAAGGATAACATCTCATTCTTTCATGTATTCCCCAGAGTTTGGCACATGATAAACATTCAAGGTTTTGCTGCAGGATAGAACTGGGAAGTAAGCAGGAAGTATGACAGTCTGAGCACATTGTGGAGATGTAATCAAATAGTGACAGTGGGAGGGTCAATCTTGAGTAAGCTACCAGGTAACTCCTAACCCTAACCTGCTCCCATAAACTGGCTATCTGCAGGTTATCGAAGAGCGCTTTGGGTCCAATGTGGTGGCAGTACCTTTCCTATCGGATGCAGCTTGCTATGATCTACTGGGTGTGCTAGTGAAGCAGTACCGCCCAGGCCACAGCCGCCTGGTTTTGACAGGTCGGCAGGGCCGGCGGACATTGCAACCAGTGGGACCACTACCAAACCTCCTGGAGCAGGCAGGGTCTGAGGGTGCCTTTGCCCACTGCACACGGGAATACTCACCAAAAAGTGGAGCAGAGCTAGCCTATGAAGAAATGCGACTCTTGGATGGGCAGCCCTGCCGGATCCACCTACATATGGGTGGCCTGCGCAAGAAGGTGGCCTTTCTGTTGCTGCCACCAGGGCAGGTGAGCCTACAGAAGACTCTGCCCTGGCTCCGAAGCACCCACAGCATCTATGTCATCTACCAGGTCTTCTCCTGTTCCTGGATGCAGCTGGGGTTACTGCCTACAGGTCATGAGCCCCAGATGCTCCGGTTACAACGGTCACTGCCTATTGCCTTCTCATGCCTCAAGTTTTCACTGCAGCCCAAGGGAGTGCTGGGACCACAAAAGGCCCTGACCAAAGGCCCACTACTCCATGGGACCAACTGGGTCAGACCCAACCTCAACATCATACCACCTCTGGCATCCCCATCAGCCCTTGACAATATCACTGAACCTGCTGATGTGCCCCCACCTGTCCCAGCCCCATCTACATCACCTCCCCAGGAAGGGCCAGAGGGCAGACTCACCAGAGTCTCCTACAAGGGTCGAAACCCATTCCGAAGGGGGCCCCAGATGCTATCAGGTACTACTGGGGAAATAAAAATGAAAGGGATGGGACAAAGTGGAGGGAGTATAGCTCAGGAATGTATGGGATACTTGTAACCCTGGTAAGGGGAATGGAAGGAGCCAGGGGACAGTGAGGTGGAAGCATGGTCTTGGTGTGGGGGTGGGCACAGCACAGAGAACCAGAGGGAGGGACCAGGGAGGCAAAAAGGCCAGGGCATTGAGTCAAGCTGTGACTATCCCCAACCCTGGCAGAGAACTGGCTCTTCAGCCCCCGCAGCCCCCCACCAGGAGCCCAGGGTGGGGGTCCCGGGGACCCCGACCGGCACTCCATGTCCCTGCCCCTGCTTCAGGGTCTGTCCTCGGAGTTCGACAGCGACGACTGAAGTTGCAGAGAAAGATGCAAGGGGCAAGGCCCCCAATATCTGGCATAAGGATACTGGTCCCCAATAAACATCAGCTGCTGCTCCCCCAAACCATCCTGAGCCCCTACTCATTCTTTCTTTTGGGGTCTGGAGAAGGGGGAGAATTCCTATATTTTCCCTAGGCTTCATGTCCCCTCACCCTCTAAGGCAGGGTGGGGAATCTTTTTTCTGCCAAGGGCCATTTTGGATATTTATACCATTACCCGCAGGCATACAAAATTATCCACTTAAAAATTAGCCTGCTATATTTGGTTAAACATTTAATTAACTCACCCCTAATGTCTTGTCAGGGCCAAACCAAGTGATTTCGAGGTCCTTATACAGCCTGCGGGCTGGCCAGACATTCCCCAACCCTGCTCTAAGGGAATAAGGAGTACCTTGAAACTTTGGCATCAATATTCTCACCATAAAGAAAATATCCCTGACCAATTCCCCATCTATGTACAACCTTTTTGAGTACCAGTCCCATAGAAAAAGGGTGGGAAAGAAGAATGAGCACAGAATAGAGATTTCCCTTTTATACATATTGCAACAAGTTCTCCATAAAACATTCATCTGAAATAAATTAAAAAGTCCTCTTGCCACTCCCTCCAAACATAAAAAGGAGCCTGTACCATGGCCCCAACCCAGGCCACTCAAGGCCCTGATTGTCCATGGAAGGAAGTTAAGGATTGAGGGGCCCGAAGCCTGAGACAGGAGGGACATTCCCCTCCTCTGAAGTATCCAACAAGAAAGGCGAGGTGACAGCATGGGCCTGGGAGATGGCAGCCAACTCCTTGAGAAACTCCGGGAAAATGACTGCACAGTAGACAGCATTCTTGACTCGCAGAGCCTCACCTTGGCGCTCAGTGGCCCCGCCCCGGGGAGGTAGAACCGGAGTGGAAGCCCCAGGGGAGCCCCCACCTAGGCCAAGTCCTGGGCTGTCTCTCCCAGGCTGATGAACCAACTGTGCCGCCTGCCGGGCCCGGGTTGGGCTGTGTGCATGTCGCAGGAGCAACTCCCCCAAGGATGGCCTCCGGCTCTTCACTACAAATAAACAGAGTGAAGGTGCAGAGGTCAGGCAAACTCCCTTAGTCTAAGAGCTGAAATTTCCCCACCCCTCCTAGGTGCATGGACTTCTCAACTAAGACTCTAACATCAAAATGCTGCCTGCCCAGCCTTCTTCCCTCTATCCAGCCTCCCCACCCAGCAAACCATCCTCCGTCTTCCCAGTCAGTTAACACTTCAGCCACTACACTCCCAACCAAGATCCCTTCCTTTTCCATGACCCTTCACCCTGAGGGATTCTCTTACCTTTCCTCTTTCCAATGACTATTCTACCATCACCAAGCTGCTTCTCCTCAGTGCATAACACGGCTTTACATCATACTTCCTATCACCCTCTTGAACTAGTCAACCACTTCCACCTTCCCCCATCTATCTCACCTGACCCACATCCTCTCTCTTTCAATGCCCACAGATGCTACCGATGCAATCATATAGTTCAGTGACTTTATCATTTCTGTCATATTACACCATCTATCCAAGATCTGCTCTCCTGTGCCACCTCACCTTCTGCCAGTCCCTCTCCTATATTCACCAAAGCCACCTTCCCACTGGTTGTGGCCAGACAGCTTCATGTCAGCTTAAACTCAAATAAGCCACTTATAATATTGACTTCTTTACTCTAATTCTCTGTCTAGATTCCTGGCTGTGGATCTACGTCCATATCTAGGGCATAACTCTAAGCATCTAGTCTCTAGATCATGATATGGTTCCCTTTCTCTGCCTCTAATTTTGAGTGATGCTGGACAGATTTATTAAAGTTGGCATTCAGAACCCTTCACCACACAACCAGGCCTACACTCCTCCAACCTCCTCTCAAAACTCTCTAGATCTGCTTTTGCATCCACATCTAGCTGCTCTTCCTGGAACCCTCCAAGCTCTTGCCGTGCTTCTGTAGCCCTCTCCACCTTAATTTTGCCCTCTCCACCTTAATTTTGCCCTCTCTACAGTTTCCATCCTTGGATTAATTTCACTATCTCCACCTCTCTGAAAAATCCACTCTGATTTTCCCTCCACTGATTTCCCATTGCATTGCCCTAATCACATTGTATTAATAACTTGCTTACATGTCATCTACCTCATACACTAATCTGTGAGCTTAAGGGCTTGGACTCTGTCTCATTTACCTTTGTATCATTGGCCCCTTCACAGAGAACACAGTACTAATAATGTGGAAGGAAGAAATACGCACAGCACTAGACCATCAGGAAATCATGCTAAGGAACTTCCTGGGTCTTCACAGCTGCATAATAACCCTTCTGGGGCTCTCTAACCACTCCATGCACTTTTTTCCTTAAGCCCCATTTGACATCTGCGCTCTTGGTCTTGGCATATTATTTCATCTCCTACTTTGAGTAACAAAGGGTGACTTCAATATCCTAACTTTCCCTTCCACACCTCACAACTCCTTTCAATTGCCCTCATTTGCCTCAAAGGAGGAAAGTCTCCTACTTTGAGTAACAAAGGGTGACTTCAATACCCTAACTTTCCCTTCCACACCTCACAACTCCTTTGATACATATCATTTCCTCCTTTCAATTGCCCTCATTTGCCTCAAAGGAGGAAAAAACCTTTTCCTATCCAAAGTTAATCCTTTCTGCTGCTCTAGATCACACCACCTTTGGGACCTTGCTCCCCTGGTTATGAGATTCCTCTAGTCTCTCTCTCCCTTCCTCTCTCTCCAGACTGTTAGCTCTTTGAAGGCCAAGATCTCATCTTGTCCCTCCCTGAGTCCCCTGTACCAAAGACAATACACAACACATATGGCAAGTGCTCAGATATTTGTTGATGAAAGATTTAGATTTAAAATTTCATGGTCATATATAACTCGTTCCTTCTTTCTTATACTTCACAACCACTCAACAAATTCTGGGGTTACTTCCATCCCATTTCCACCTTATCAAATTCTTCCTTTCTATTTCCACTATTCAAGCCTTAAAGGTCACATCCTAAATACATTTCCTCCTACCTCCAATTATTCACCTAGATGAACTAATATTCTTACCCTCCACTCCCAGATCTAAGAACGTCCAACCGTTTCTCACAGCCTAAAACTTCACAACTTCTACCCAGCCCAACTTCAACTCTGAGAACCTTCTGCTCTAGTCAATCTTTCTACCCTTACTACCAACTGGTCCACCACCTTCCAAATCCCCTGCTCCAACTAGGTAGTTCATGCCGTTCCCTAAACAGAGGAATAAGGCCATCCCACTCCTTGCCTACCCAAATCCAAGAGCAAGAGAGCAGATGTCAAATGGGGCTTAAGGAAAAAAGTGCATGGAGTGGTTAGAGAGTACCATCAAGCCCATGTCAAGTGGCATATCCTTTACAAAGCTGTAACAATATCTAATCTAGAGACTACTCTGTCCCCTTGCCTGTCCCCAACTACTAGAGCAGTTCTTGCTGGTACTGCTGATTTGGCTCTTAGTGGACAGAACTATATCCTGACAAGAAGCCTGAAAACAAACACCAAGACTTAATTTGTTGCCAGTTCCCAGTTCCCAGCACAAGGCTTCACCCTTAATAAGTGTTCACTTGACCTACATTAATTAGCTGTGTAGGGAGGATCAGGAGAGGGGTGGTAGAGTAGGCCTTACCTAGAGAATCAGAGCGGCGAGGAGCAGGTCCTGCTGCAGGGCCCTCAGCCCAGTCCAACTTGCCGCGAGCAATGAGGTACTTCTTGGCTTTGGAGAGCAGTGCTGGGAAGTCCTCCTGGGAGGCCGCAAAGCTCTCAATCTTATTCTTCACGGAGCCCAACACCTACAAAGCACAACTTCATGACATCTCTGGGTAGCGCTAGACAGACATACCTTTCTAGAAACACTGGGCCTGTTCCCAGCCCCCCAGGGCCACTCCAGCTGCGGGCCTGGCCCACCACGGAGCCTGGACGCACCCATGCATGCATGCATCGCACACCTGCAGCAGGGACTTGACACTGGGCTGGAAGACCATGTTGGTGTTGAGCAGGAAAGAGCGGAGCAGGGGCTGGGGGTGACAGGCCAGCTGGGCCACCAGCCCTGTCAGCAGGAAGTTGACATAGACGGAGTTCTGCAGCATGTTCTCAAGTTTGGCAAAGAGCACAGCCATGAAGGGGCCTGGGGGAGGTGGGCACAAGGATACAAGGCCTGAACACAATGCACATTGCACGTATTCCTCCCCAAAACAAGAGGCCCCAGACTAGATGATAATTATTTGTATGTCAGTCTTTGGGTATGTTTAAATATCCTGTGACCACCTATTCTGGAGAAGATAAAATGGCAGATACCACATAGATGCATAAGAGTCCAGATACTAGCTTTACACACACTTGAGCTGAAGAGCCAGATTGTAGGCTCTGGAATCAGAAAGAGCTGGTTTCAAATTTCAGCTTTATCCTTTACTAGTTAGTTATTGGAGGAGTCAAAACTCTCCAAGAATAGTTCCCTACTTGGTAAAATAAGAAAATATACCTACTTATAAGGTTATTAAGAGGATGAAAAGGAGACTAACATAAAGCATTTAGTCTAAAATATAGCAAATTATAAGTATTCAATAATAACTATAAGCTACATAACATTTCATAGGTCTTTTTAAAAGCTTCATCCAAGAGGCACAACAGAAGAAAGAATGAGAAATTGAGTAAAACCAAAAGAAATCAGGTTACACACCAAACAGAGGATAACATTAGACTTGGGGCAAAAAGAAAGCAAGGAAGTATAACAAAGGCAAACAAGGTGACTATATAGGCCAACTTAAAGTCAGGGAGAAATCTTTGGAGGACCAGAGAAGAAATCAGCTCTTTTGAGGAGCTGGGAATCAAGAAGGTGGGAAAGAATCTGTAGAAAAAAAGAGCTTGAGAATTAAGAGCCAGAGAAAACCAAGTCATGGCAGCCTCTTTGGTAGGAGACAGAATAACAGAAGGGATTAGATAGTTCCACTGGGAGAACTGGCCTCAATGAGCCAGAGCCCCAGCCTGAGCACTCTAGACCATCACAGTCTGTCTGACCAGAGAATTATGGGGAAAAGAA